TAAAAAAAAAAAAAAAAAAAAAAAAAAAAAATCAAGCTAATTAAACTGAAGCAAAGCATATATTTTTTGGTTGCATTCTAAAACAAAATGAATTTACAAAATATTCATTGTAATATCCTTACACTTTTTTTTATTTTTTACTTTTAAATAATAATCATAATTAAAATTATTTATAGTTTAAATTTTTTGTTTATATAATTTGACTATTTAATAGTTTTTCTTTGTTTTATCTTATGTTATTAAGTATATTTCTTAAACCAAATAAAAACAAATAAAGATTCATAAGTTTTCATTATATTTTTATATATTATAGAAAAATAAAGAAATTCATAAAAAAAAAAAAAAAAGATATAAAAGCATACAACAAATGGTACATATTTTATAATTAACTAGACAATTCGTTAATATAATACATATCGTTATATTTCCATATAATAATACAATTATTTATTTTATAACTATTGTAAAGGTAAATTTCAATATAAAGTTAACAATATTTTAATTGTAGACATTATTATATTTGTATTATTAATATTTTCCTTTATATAATACATTTTACTTATGTGCATATATTTACAAAAACCTGTTTAATTTTTTTTTAATTTTTTTATTTTTGTAAAGAAATTTTAACTTTAAATGACTTCAAGAAATGAAACCATATTTTATGGTAATAACAGTTTAATATATATTAATAGCTTATATGAAAATAGTATTGATAAAAAAAATAAAAAATATTAATGCAATAAATGATTATATAAATAATAATGCAATGAGTGAAGAAATAGAGTCTTCAAATAGTAACCAAGATTTATCATCAAGCAATCCATTAAATTTAGCTAGAAGAAATAAAAAAGAAAAAATAAAACTAGAAAAAAATAAATATGATAAAATTTATGAATTAGAAAAATATATAAACATAAATAATGCAACAAATGTTTCCTCTTTAAGAATAAAATTATGGGAAGCTTTATTACTATACATAAATAATTTGAATATAGAATTAGTTTATTTTATTATTAGTTGCTTAGAAAAAATAGAAGTATATTGGGGTCAGGAAGCAACAGATAATTTACAAGAAATTATAAATTTAATAAATGACAAAAAATATAAAGATGTTTCTAATAAAATAGGGGAAACCTTATCAAGTTTATCAGTAACAACTGGAAAGACAGCTGAAGATAATCCTTTTTTTTATACCTTAATAGTATCAGCGAAAAGAGATGAAAATAGCCATAATTATAATTCTGATTTAGCTTGTGAATTAAATAAAATATTACAATATGAACATAATAGACTATCAAATCAAAATAATAATAAAAAATTAGAATACAAAATTATTGAAGTAAGTAATGCAGAAGAGGCATTATTAGCCTGTTTAATAAATTCTCAAATATTATCAGTTGTTCTAGTAGATAATTTGACTATTGATGAAGAAAATTCAAAAGAAAAAGAATATTTTAATTTTACTGAAGAAAATTCGTTAAATAATAATTGTGCAAATAATTCTTATTTAAATTGCAATGGAACGAATAACACAAACAAAACATCCTTGACACATAGTATGCATAATGGTTCAACCTCAAATAATAAAGATGTGAGAAACATACAAAATTATAGAAATAATAGCAATAATAATATGAATGAAAATAAAAAAGTAAATGGTTTTATAAAAAATGATTATAAGTTTTATATTAAAGATTTTGTATTGGGATATGAACAACTTGTGCATGCACCTGTAGAAAAGATGAAAAAAGGTTTTAATAGTTTAGTAATATTGATTAAAAGCATAGCATATATTAGAAGTTCTATAGATATTTTTTGTGTTTGTACATCTATTACATTAGATAAATTACAGTCTGTTAATAATATGATAATCAGAATATTCACTACACATGACGATCATAGTGATTTGCATGAATCAATATTAGATGGGGTAAAAAAGAAAATTAAAACTCCTTTTTTTAATGCCTTAAAATCTTATGCAGAAAGACCAATTGGGGTATTTCATGCATTAGCTATAAGTAAAGGAAATAGTGTAAGAAGAAGTAGATGGATACAATCCCTTTTAGATTTTTATGGTGTTAATTTGTTTAAAGCTGAATCAAGTGCTACTTGTGGAGGTTTGGATTCTTTGTTAGATCCTCATGGATCTTTAAAAGAAGCTCAATTAATGGCTGCACGTGCTTATGGTAGTAAGTATTGTTTTTTTGTTACTAATGGAACATCAAGTTCTAATAAAATTGTTATGCAAGCTTTAGTGAAACCAGGTGATATTATATTAGTTGATAGAGCTTGTCATAAATCACATCATTATGGATTTGTTTTGTGTCAAGCTCTTCCATGCTATTTAGATCCATATCCAGTATCCAGATATGGGATATACGGAGCAGTTCCTATATATGTAATTAAAAAAACGCTACTAGAATATAGAAATAGCAATAAATTACATTTAGTAAAATTATTAATTTTAACTAATTGTACCTTTGATGGTATAGTTTATAATGTAAAGAGAGTTATAGAAGAATGTCTTGCAATAAAACCTGATTTAATATTTTTGTTTGATGAAGCATGGTTTGCTTATGCATGTTTTCACCCTATTTTAAAATTTAGAACTGCTATGACTGTTGCTGATAAAATGAGAAGTAAAGAGCAAAAAAAAATATATTATAAAATTCACAAAAAATTACTAAAAAAATTTGGAAATGTTAAAAGTTTAAATGAAGTTTCAGCAGAAAAATTACTTAAAACGAGATTATATCCAAACCCATCAGAATACAAAGTACGAGTTTATGCTACTCAATCAATTCATAAATCGTTAACTTCATTAAGACAAGGTAGTATCATATTAATAAGTGATGATAATTTTGAATCTCATGCTTATACCCCTTTCAAAGAAGCTTACTTTACACATATGTCAACTTCTCCTAACTATCAAATACTTGCTACTTTAGATGCAGGAAGAGCTCAAATGGAATTAGAAGGATATGGATTAGTAGAAAAACAAGCAGAAGCAGCGTTTTTAATAAGAAAGGAATTAAATGATGATCCAATGATTTCTAGATACTTTCGAACTTTAAATGCAGAAGATCTAATACCAGATAGCTTAAGACAATGCGCAGTTTCTTATATAAAAAAAAAAAAAAAAATGAAAGATTATGATTCTTCTGATTCTAAATATAGTGGCAATATAACTTATTCTTGTAATTCTAATAGTCAAGTAAAAGGGTTAGATCCTTCTGAAAACTTAAAGTATCCTATAAAAAATATGAGTATATCTTATGAATATATAAATGCAAGTAATGCAATTAATAACAATAATGTTTTTTTACAAAATGAATTCACAAATAATAATGCACATGGAAATAGTAATACAGAAGTAAATAATGTCTGTAGATCAAATAATTCTCCTTCTAGTATTTTAAATAATAAAAATGAGAGAAGTATAGATTTACATGAAAAGAATAATTCTACTAATACTTACAATGATAACTCTCAGACAAAAATAAATAGTAGTCTAAAAAAAAAAAAGAAAAAAAATGATAAAACATTAAATTCCATAACATATGATAGTAATTTTAGTGAAGATACATATAACAATTTAAGTTTTTTAGAAAACAGGAATAAAAATTATAACAATTCTTCATATTCAGGTGGCATGAAAAATTTTCTTGAATACTTTGAAAGTTCGTGGTTGAGTGAAGATGAATTTGTCTTAGATCCAACGAGAATAACTTTATTTACTGGTTATTCTGGAATAGATGGAGATACATTTAAAGTGAAATGGTTAATGGATAAATATGGAATTCAGATAAACAAGACATCTATAAATAGTGTTCTATTTCAAACAAATATAGGTACAACAGGATCTTCTTGTCTATTTTTGAAAAGTTGTTTATCATTAATATCTCAAGAATTAGATCAAAAAAAAAGTTTATTCAATGAAAGGGATTTAAATCAATTTAATGAAAATGTGTATAATTTAGTATCTAATTATATTGAATTATCGGAATTCAGTGAATTTCACCCATTATTCAAAAAAAAGTATGCCAATCCAAATATATTTAATAAAGAAGGAGATTTAAGGAAAGCTTTTTATTTAGCTTATGAAGAAGATTATGTTGAGTATATTTTATTAGGTGATTTAAAAGAAAGAATAAAACAAAACGAAATGATAGTGTCTGCTAGTTTTATTATACCATATCCACCTGGATTTCCAGTATTAGTTCCTGGTCAAATTGTTAGTCAAGAAATTGTTGATTATTTATCAGGATTAAGTGTTAAAGAAATACATGGATATGATGAAAATTTGGGATTTAGGTGTTTCTATAATTTTATTTTAGATTATTTTTTTAATATGGACATTACAGATCCATATAGTTGTTATCAAAAAATTGATAAAAAAACTTATAATCAATTAAAATTCATGAGTTTAAGTAAGAAGAAAAATATAGAAAACATTTATGATATGTATATATATGATAATGAAACAAACAAAATGAAAAAATTATATTTATGTAATGGAAAAATTTTTAAAGAAAATAATATTCCCATGAACGTTAATTATAACTTTGATAGTTATCAAGAAAATGCAAATAATAATGTAATTGGTATATATGAAAATTTAAATAACAATGTTATTATGCCTAATATAAGTGAGAATAACACTAATAATTGTATAAATAATGGTGTATCTAATAATTTGAATGATAGTGAAGAAAATATTTATCAGTTAAATGAAAACGAAGCTAATAATAATATTTTACAATTTAATAAAGGTTCTATTACTTCACCAAAAAAAATGTCTACAGAATCAATTATTCAAAACACAAGTAACGATGTATTATTAGAAGAAAAAAAAATGATAAAATTTTATGATAACGTGAATAATATTAAAAATGGAGAATATAATATTTTTTTAAATAAAATAAAAGAAGAAAATGAATTAAAATATGAAAATGAAGTATACGGAAATAACCATAATAACAACAAACTTTTACTTAATTTTAATAAAATTCATTCAGAAAATTATTATAGTCAAACTAAATTTAAAAATTTAATATATAACTCTAATAACTATAAAAAAAATTATAGGAATTATAAATTTCATAATAATAATAGAAATTATGGTAATAAAAATTATATTAAAGAGCAAAATAGAGATTTTAATAATAGTATATCATACATAAGAAATTCAAATATAAATATGAATGTGATTAATACTAATGATAATAATCGTAATGATAATTCTCTAACTGAAAATAATTTGAATAATGAGGAAAAAAGGAATATTGTGAACAAAAATAATAATACTATTTATGATAATGGTAATAGTGATATGAATAACATGAACAGTAATTTTATTAATGATGAGAATAATAACATTTGTAATACGAATAATAATTTTATTAATGATACAAATAATATTAATACGAATAATAATTTTGTTAAAGATTGTGATAACAACATAAATAATATGAATAATAATATTATTAATAATATGATTAATAATATGAACAATTGTATGAATAATAATAATTTAAACAGTGATAATATGCCTTCTTTTTCAGATGTTTTCTATCGAAAAAAAACAAATAAATTTAATAAAAGTGATGATGGAATATACAGCAATAAATTAACTGATTTCGTACCTAAATTAAAACAATCAAATATAATTTTATATAATAAAATAAAAAAGAATGCTTTAATAATGCAAAAAGAACAAGAGAATAATATGAATTATTTGAATGATTGTCATTTAAAAAATAATTATTTGAATGAAAAAAATAATAAAGATAATGAATATTATTCAGATTCTAGTAAAAAAGTAAATGAAAATATAAGTATAAAAGATGAAAATGACAACTTTCAAAAAAAAAATAAATGTGTTAAAAGAGATTCACTTGAATATAATTTTAATAAAATAGAAAATAATGATAATGAGAAAAACAATATAATGTATACTGCTAATTGTATATCAAATATGAATATAGACAAAGAAGATATTTATAACAATAATAATAATTATGTTAATAATAATACTACTAATATAAATGAAAATTTAGGTTATAATATTAATTATTATCCTGATCAAAATATAAATGAAAATATAGAAGAAATATGTAAAACAAATGAGTTATCCATAAGAGAATCAGAAAGAAATAATTTAAATAATGAAATTCTTGATAAAAATGAATTCTGTAATATAAATAATCATGTGACCAATATAAATTCATTAAATAATTACAATTATGATAATGATGAAATGATTAATGAAATGAACTACAATAATCAAAATGTTAATGAAAATAACAACAATAACATAAATAATCACATCAAAAATGAATTAACATATAATGGAAATAATTTCAATTATCAAGAAAATGAAATTAAAAAAAATTCTATACTCAGAGAAAACGAAATAGATAAAAATTCAAGAAAATCAAATACATTAAATAATAATAGTTATATAAATAACCTTATAACAAATGTAGATGATGACACCTTTGTTCATAAACAAGGGAACTTTTTCTTAGAATGCGCCTTAACGAATTCAGAAATTAATTGCAGCTCTTTTGAAATGGATGTTTCATTAAATAATATATATTCTAATGGGGAAAGCATAAAACAACATAGGAATTATGATAATGATAAAAAAAAAAATGAATTTAAATAATTTTAATATTGATAATATTAAATTAATACACTAAATTATTTTAATATATAGAGAATTATTAGGGTTGTCATATTTCAAGGTAAAAGTGTAAAATGTATTTATGTTGATAAAATTTAGGTAGAAAGAATTTTAAATGTAATAAAATATGTAATTTAATCTATCATTATATATATATATATATATGAATTATTATTTTTCAATTATAATGTAATCAAAAATTACAAAAATGTATATTATATATATTAAAATTATAAAAAAAAAAAATATATATGTATATATAAATAATTATTAAAAATTTATAAATATTTAAGTAAATATGCCAAGTTAATTCTATTACTATTTATTTAATTGTATGCATATAAAATTTTATATATAAAAATTATGAAAAAGACATTGTATATAAAAAAGAGTTTCAAAAAAAATATAATTAAAAAATTACAAAAAAAAAAAAAAAAAAAAATTTTATGTAAAAATTATCAAAAAAAAAAAATCAAAAAAATTGTACAAAAAAATTCTTTTTTTTTGGTTATATGAAAAAATACAAAAAAAAAAAAATATAAAGAAAATTTTCTAAATTTATAAAATACTTCTGTAAAATGAATAAAATTCATATATTTTATTTTATGACCTTTTTTTTTATCACATATTTTGTTTTTTAATATAAAATATAATTTTCTTTGTTTATGTATATTAGTGTTTTTTTTTTTTTTTTTTTTTCTCGTAAACTTAGAACAATAACATAAATTAGAAGTCTTATTTAATTGGAATAACTATTATAAAAAAAATATAATAATTTTTTCTATTTCTACGTTATCCTGATTTCTGATTATTTATTTTTATTTTTAGTATAAAAATTATATCTTTAACATCTGAATATATTTTCATATTCTTAAAGTTTTTGAGGTTTTTTCTCTTTTATTTTAAAGATTAAAACAATGCATTTTTCTTTTTTTTTTTTTTTTTTTTGACAAAACAAAGAGAGTAAAAAACATATCAAAAAAATTGAAGATAATAAGTAAAAAAAAAAAAAAAAAAAATTAATAAATTTTTAATCATAAATATGTAATTTTTTTTGTTATAAACAAATATTTTCATAGAAATTATCTTCTTCTATAACTTAAGTAGACATTAAAATAATGAGACATCTGAGAAAATTAAATGATTAAATAATAAAAAAAAAATTATTGTATTTATAAATTTTTAATTTTATTATTAATAAAAAAATAATTATTATTTATTCATTTTGGAAATTTAAATTTTACTTTATTGAATATATTTAGAAAAATTCTAGGCACCTTGGGGTGAGACAGATATTGTCTAATCATTTCTATAAAAAAAAAAAAAAAAAAATAATAAAATTTATATAAATATATATATATATACATATATATATATGTAATAAAAAGTAAACCTCCATTTTTAGAAAAACAAGCATGAAAATATGGATCTGCAGAGCTATATCTATGGAAAAAAAAATTTTAAAAGAATATATTCAGTTTTAACAAATTATATACTATTAAAAAAAAAAAAAAAGCTTTTTTTTTTTTTTTTTTTTTGCTTTTACTTTAATTTAAAGAAGTGTACATAAATAATTAAATTTAATAAACTAGCTCTTTTAAAAAATAAACAGATAATTATAAAAAGCAAATTATAAATTTCAATATTGGCTCTCATCATATATGTATTTAATATCTGATTTAAAAAAAAAGGAAAAGAAATATTATTTATAGCTTCTTTGTATATTCTAATGAAATTTTTTTTTTTTTTATCTTATAGTTAAAATTTTATATTTTTATCATTTATTTTTAGTAAATATATTACATTTTCATCTAATAAAGACACAATTTTATTAACATAATGATTCCTATAAAAGAAAAAAAAAGAAAAAAAATTATAAATTCATAAATATGTAGAAATTTTACATTTTTATCAAATAAATTTATTACTTTTGAATTAATGGTGGAAGTGATAATTTTATTTGTTTAAAAATTAAATAACTATTTATTAAAAGAGTTAAAAAAATTGGTAAAAAAATTAAAATGGCATCCTTAATAAAAAAAAGTATTACAGAATAAGATAAGTATTGACCTAAGTTAAAAAAAAAAAAAAAAAAATAAATAAATAAATATATGAATAAAATAACATAATTTGTATTTTTATAAATATTTATATATATCTTCATAACTCTTATATTTATAATAATAAAAGTATATCTTATGGAGTCAAAATAATTATATAATTTTTTTAAGTCCATTTTTCATAATTATAAAATGTTTATTCTCTATAAGAGATACCTTTCTCACTAGAAAAAAATTGTAATAATGAAAAATTTTGTTTCTGTGTTTTGTAGTCTAAATATAATAAACCAATAAATGACAATAAGTAAGAAAAAGATACAAATGTTCCAAATCTCTATAAAAAAAAAAAAGAGAAAAAAAAAATGTTTATATATATATATATATTTTTCTTTTATTTTTTATTATTATTTTTTTTTTTTTTAATTACTTTATATAAATTTAAATTTAAAGATAAGATTATAAAATAAAATACACTAAAGCATAAAACAAAAATAAAATAAAAAAATATCAGAATTGGTAATTTTCCATAATAATTAGTATTATTGTAAGAATAAAAATTTTGAAAATTTGAAGTGTCTTGATTTTCTTGTTTTATTTGATCAAAATTTATATTTGTATCTAGGTTTTTGTCAATGTTTTTCTGAAAATATTTTTTTTTATATTTTTCAATATTATTTATTGAAGGAGATGGGTATAAATTACTTAAATATAATTTCCACTTTTCATCATTCACCCAATCATGGTCTAGGTTACATAAATAGTTAAAAGAAAAATTTAGTTTTTAAAATAAAATAATAAAAGTATATATCATAAATATACATATAAAAAAAATACCTAGAGAAATGAAATTTTTAATATACTAATGTTTTATATATATATATATATATATAAATAAATTTATATAACAAAAAAAAAAAAAAAAAAATTACTTAAAAACTTCTCTTCAGCTTCTGTTAAATTTCTCATATTTTCTATAGATCTTATTTTATAATGTTAATAATTATGTATCCTTAATAAAAAATTTTAAATTTAAATATAAAAAAAAAAAAAGTTATAATTTAATAGAAATATAAAATTTAAAACTTAAATAAATATACACATATATATTTTATTATAAATAGTATAATATTATATATTTAATTATGGTATTTTTTTTTTTTTTTAACATTAGTATGCAAACAATAATTTTGATTCATAAAAAAAAAAAAAAAAAAATTAATCTATTTAACAATTTATATTTTAAATTTGTAATAATTACATCAAAAAAAAAAAAAAAAAAAAAATTAAANNAAAAAAAAAAAAAAAAAAAAAATTAAATAAGCTAAGTTAGGATATATATATTTTATTATTTTTAATTTCAATAAAATATGCATTATTTGAAAAAAAATAATTTAACAATACTTTTGTTTTTATATATATATATATATACATACATTTTTTTAAGTTTTTTTGAAATTTTTTATGAAAAGTTTTATTTTTTTATTTAAGTTTTTTAAGTAATTTCACTAATATATTTTTAATATAATATTATTATTTCTACATAATTATATATATTTTTTTTTAAACATAATTTCATTTATTATATCTGAAAAATTTTATATTCATGTGTTTTTCCTTAAATATATAAATATTATTTTTTTAAAATGAATGAAGAAAATATAAAAGAAAAATTAAGAACTTCTATTAATCATTTAAACAACAGAAGACTTAAATTTGATATAAAGAACTTTCCTATAGAAAAAACAGTTTATGAGATTTTTAATATATTTTCAAAAAATTTAAAAAGCAAATTAAAAGAAGTTTTGTTAGAATTAAAAAAAAGAAAAAAGAATTGTGATATATGTTCAAAAAATATAGATACATTTAATCCAACTCTTTTGTATGACGTAGATGTAAATAACGCAACATTTTCTTTTATTAGAATAGAAGTAAGAAAAATAAATATAAAAAAAAAAAAAAAAAAAAAAAAAAAAAACGAATAGATATAACTATAATACTTTATAAAATTAAAAAAAAGAAGGATAAGATAAAAAAAAATAAAAGTAAAATACTAAAATCTTTAAGTTGTAATATAAAAAAAATAAAATTGAATATTATTTTTATTTTTTTTTTTTTTTTTTTGTTACTCTTTTTAGGTTTGTTGTATTAAATGTTACACCATAAAGAATTTTTCTATATTTTCAAATAAATTATATAAAAATTTAGATTCAAGTAGTTTTTTAAATTTTTCCAGTATTTATGAACATTATTATAATGTTAATAATTTAGAAATAGAACAAAAAAATATTCTAGAGAATGATATAAATAATTATTTTATTATATCTATATTAGCAAAGTAATATTAACTGATCTCAATTTTGTCTATTATTTCAAAAAGAAATTATATATATATATATATCTATTTTTTTATATTATTATTTTAACATATGAGTTGTTTATATATATATATTTTTTTTTTGAAATTTTTATTTTTTATAACAATAAAATTTTTTTTTATAGAAATTTAAGATGGAAATGTTCAACACCTCATAAAACTTTTGAAGAATTTTTAGAATACTCATTAAATAATTATAAATCAAATCAGAATACAGGAAATACAAAAATATTAAAAAAAAAAAAAAAAGAGATATTAAAAATTATTCCGAACAATGGAAAAAAGAAAAAATTAAATCATAAATAGAAATTTAATGAATATGTTGAAAATCCAATTGAACCATATATAATAATCTATTAAAATAGAAAATAAAAATATTTATATAATTTTAAATTAAATTTTTATTAATATATGAAATATAATAAAATTTGTATGTATTATTTACGCAATATTACGAGGTTAAATTATCATAAGAATATTTTATCCATTAAAACTTTTATTTGTATATGACTATATAGTTTTCTAATTTTTTAAATACATATTATATTTTTTTTTTTTTTTTGTTTAAACAATTTTTTTTATATTATTTTATGTTTTTCCTTTTTATATAACTACTATATGTCGTTTATTTGCCTTATAAAAATATATCATATTAATTATAAATATATTCAATAAATTGCAATAATTTCCTAATTAAATACATTTTTGAAATTTTTAAGTAATTATTTTTTTTTTTAATTTTCTATAGAAAAAAATATTCTTTGAAAGAATTATAAAATAAATGAAAAATGTAAATATTTAAAAATGCATAATTAAAATGTAAGCTATTTAAGAATAAAATATAATTATATAAACTCATAAAAGAGAAATTGAAATATTAATAATCTATATAAAAATATATAAAGAGTTAAGAAAAAAATAAAAAGAGGAAGCTTGGAATTTTTGTAGACTTTTTTGTTATAATAAAAAAGTTTTATATAATCTACTCATTTTATACATTAAATAATGTATATATATATATAGTACTATATTATTATTTTTTTTAATAGTATTTATATAAAAATTTTCATTAAAAATGTTTTATAACATTAATAAAGTTTTTAAGGTAATTATTAAAAGAAATAAATATTTACATAATTGTTTTAAATAAAACAATAATAATATATTAAAAGAGAATAAAAAAAAAAAAAATAACATAACAATAAAATTTCTATAAATTCTTAATATATAAATAAATTAAAAAATATCACATTTTATTTTTTATATTTTTCTTTTTTAGTAATTTAACGGTTATTATTATTTCTAATTTATGTATAAACATACTAAACCTAGTATTTCATGTAAAATATACTATACATATATACATAATTATTAAAAAGTAAACAGCGAAAATAACATTTATTCTAAATAATAAACTACTCAATTTTTCTTTTTTTTTTTTTTTTTTTTTTTAAACATATTTTCATTGTATTATTTTAAAATGAAAAAAAAAAAAAAAAAGTGAACTAACAATAAATAATACAATTTATTATATATTAATTTTTTTAAATGAAAGATGTTTCAACATCTGCTTCATCTCCATCATGTTGATCAAGTAAAGAAAATTGCAAAAAATGATTAGGTCTATGTACATCAGCATAAAATGGTTGAGGTATATCTAATTGAGCTGAATATTTCTGATTATTATTAAATTTTATTCCCATTAAATTATAATTCCATATATTATCATCAGGTATTAAGAAAAAACCAACAAAAACATTTGATAATAATATTTGTACCTGTTCATATAAATTATTAATATTTGGAAATGCATATAAATCAGATGAATTTTTTTTGTTTTTAGCAAAAGTATATCCCTCCTCAGTTAATTTATAAGCATTAATAGTACAACTACCAGGTGTAAAAGAACATGTAAGTATAATTGCTTTATTTTTATCCCATACTTTATATAGTTCCACATTTTCTTCATTAATATCATCTACAATTTCTTCATCAGAATTATTTCCTTCTGATTTTTTTTTTGATGATTTTATTTTACATTCTTGCAAAAAGGATAAATGAGTAACCATATCATACGTAGTTAAATGATTACTCGTGTTAGAACAATTTGTTGTTTGAGTATGTATCCATCCAAGAATTTCTAAATTTTCTAAATATTTACTAGATGGTAAGTAATTTGATAAAGTTACTGATTGATAATTTCCTATTTGTGGTGGTATTAGAATGCATTTAATTTCTTTTACATAAGAATTATCTGGTGGTGATGAACCATATAAAAATCCACCTACTTGTATTTTTAAATCTGATATACATATAAACTTTTCCAATAAATTTTTAGCAATAACATAAGTATAATCATTTATCGAATTAATACTTGTAATATTATCTGGATTGGTATTTTTTAAAGCATTATTAACATATATATTTTTTGTTCTAAATAATAAGGAACTATTTGCTAAATATCTAATTTTCCAATCAGTTTTCGTAGTAAAAGTTTGTTGCTCATGAGGAGACATCGTAGATACAATAATTTCATTACCATGTTTAGTAGTTGTTTTAGATGTAGTAACTTTCATTTGTTGTTCAATATTATCTAAGTTATTTTTTTCCAACTCTGCAATTTGTTGTCTTTGTATTGAAGGAGGAGTTATTTCCATACCTAACAGTATGTCTCTTATTTCGTTTTGAGTTAATGAAGCAATATGTACATTATTTCTTTTCGAGTAGTCATTTAAAATAAGATCTTTAAGTTGTACTTCTAAATGAATCCACTGGTTGTTATTAAAAGATGGCCATATGTGATGAGGTTGAGTGATAATATTTTTATTAGGTTGCAACAAAATTTTTGTTTGTTGCGGATTTATATGCAAACTTCTTAAAATTAAAATTAATCTACTAAATGCAGTAAAAGAAGAAATACTATTTAACCAATCATCATATAAATTGAATAGAAGCATCTGAGGTTGAGTAGCTTTTAAAATTAAATCTCCTATTTTATTAAGCTTTAATAAAGCTTGAAAAGGTAAATTTAGTTCTGTTCCTTTTATTATAATATTAGGAAAATCTAATAGATGTACTTCTAATGGATCTAACATCCCCTTTCTTGTAACAATAATTTGTTTTGGTTGTTCTTCAATTGGTAAGGATCTAATTAAAGAAGCAACTTCCTCTGCAGTCTTCCATTTAGCTAATTGAGATAAACGTTTCTGGCCTATCCATACAGAAGTATGTATAATTTTTAAGAATAATTGTCCTGTTTTTGGATTTAATATAAATATGGCACCATTGATTGGTTTAGTTGTTAAGTTTCCTTCAAAAGTTTTATGAATAGTAACTCTATATACATTTGTATCATCAACAAACCATATAGTTTGAGAAGAAAACAATTCGTTATAATTTTGTGTATTTAGATATGGTTCCGTTGGTTCTGAAGAATACAATTGTAAACCTTTTCTTATTCTTTCTCTTAATACATACAGTGAAGGGTTGGATTGAATAATTTTTTGTAATGCTTTTTGCATTAATGGTTTCAAGTTGTTAAACCAATTTCCATATGCAGAATATAAATTGTAGGCTAAATCTATTCCTATTAATACCCCTGTTAAACAAGGATAAATAGATAAATTGTCGGTTGTGTAATCCAAAAATTTTGCTCTACTATATCTTTCAATATCATGTGAATCAAAATCACCCCACCTCAATTGTATATCTATCCAATACTGATTTGATGTATATGGATAGGAACTAAAAGACAATGGGTTATTTGCTTTTACTTCTACATTATTACTAAATATATTATCATCATCAGATAATAATGATGGTTTTGAAATTCCCCATTTATAATTTGCAAACAATAAAATATCTGCACATGAACTATTCATTTTATAAGATTTTCGTGGATGAATAGTTTCCTTTTGTACTGTTTCAATATCTAGTAAATCACAATTTAAATCAAAAACTTGACATATATCCATAACAAGTGATTCATGAATTTTTTGCCATAAATGTGCACGAAAAATTTGTATTAATGATATTTTTAAAGTAGGAATCTTTCCATGCATAAATATACCTGTTAAATCTAATTGTACTTGAAAACCTACATAAACATTTGCTCTATTAATTGTTGGAGACCACCATAATGTAAATCTTCTGTTAGGAATTTGATTTAAACCACTTCTTTGAGCATTTGTTAGTTTTTTGTATTTCATAGATTCCTCAAATCCACTAGCTTTTTCCCAAAATAATCCTTCCCATGTAGGAAAAAAGGTTCCTTTAAATAATGTATGTTCTAAAATACCTTCTACACCACCCAATGCTTGAATCATATCTGTTCTGTAATTATTTAAATTCCATAATTTTCCATCATGCCTCTGATTAGTCCACCAAAATGGATTACTTTTAATAATTTGATACTGTTTAAATAGTTGTCTTATTCTCCATCCTTTGTCATATGCTAAAGTATGTCTATCTTTCTGAAAAAGTGTATTTATTCTTGGTATACCCTTGTCCCATGAGTCTTCTAAATCTTCTAAAGTAATTTTTTTATTTTGGTTATGACATTCATTCCTCTTTAATGCATATTCACACCATACTCTTTGACTTTCTAAAAATTCACTTTCCCATGTAGATATGTATCTATATAAATTTGGAATCAACTGATCTTCTTCATGAGATAATCCAGCTCTAAAGTGAGTTATTTTTCCATTATCTGTTTGCTTCATATACCTTAGATCAGACTCTGGTATTAATATATGACCCATTGATAACATACCTAAACCACCTAATTCTTTAGGAGTATAAAAAACAACTGGTGGAAAACGAGATGGCATTTTTGAATTTAGACCAATTTTAATACGTGTTTGTATTTTATTTTCACATTTTACTAATAAATCTAATAACTCTTCTGTATCTAAAACAGCTTCTCTAAAGTATGTCATTAAACCAATTAATGTTGTATTCCATTTATTTGCAATTTTTGTGAATGTGGTACTTCCTGAAGACATTAATATTTGCCTAACCCTATTTTCAAATCTCTTCATACTATTCTCTGAAACTTTTAAATAAGCTTCTGCTGTAATTTCTTTTGTTACTTCATTTTGTAATTTCCATGTTCCTTCTTTTCCACTAGATGATATTACTACATTCTTTTCATATGAATTTTCCTCATTGTTTTTTAAGTTGCTACTATCATTGCCCTTTTCATCACCATTTGAATCCTTTTTATTATATTCATTTATATAAGAAGTATATATATTTAAACCATAACTTAATTGTCTAATTTTTGGTAATATGCGTACCTCAAACCCTGCAATTGAAAATAACAAATTAGGGTTATCTTTAGAATAAACACTGACAAAAGTATTATAATGATCCCAATCTAAAGAGGTCAAAGATCTAGGTATTCTATTTTGTATTTCCCAAAAAGTAGCTCTACCTAAATTAACATCATGTTTCATTTTTCTCATTCTACAATCTCTAGGCCAACAAGATTTATTGTTGTACCCAACAATATTTTCGTTATTGGGATCAGGATTTTCTGTTAAAAATTTTTGAATTAAGTCTTTAGACTCTTCATTAGTAAACTTAAATAATATCCATATTTTATCTACATACCTACAATATAATCTGATTGGATGTCTTGTTTCTATATGAACATTTTGAAAGCTTAAGAATTGATTTACATCATTATATGGTCCTGCAATATCATAGGCCCTTGTTAACCCTAATATTAATAAATCAATTATAATAGTATAATACTGAAAAACAAATGAGGAAAATTGCAAACCTCTAATAATACCAAAAGAATTTATATGATTCATATCTTTAAAAGTTATATTAGTATTATTTTTCGCTGTAATATAATCTGCTATATTATGATCCACAATTAGACGTAATAATCTATTTAATAATGTTAAATCAATTTTTTCATAAATTTTGTTAAATTGCGTTTGTAACATGACAACGCATTCGTTATTTTTTGTTTCCCATATATTATGTAAATTATTTATACCTTGACACATTTTGTAAACTAGCAATGGTTGAGGCTCATTGTCTGATGGTTTCACCCAGTTAGGAAACAAATTTCTTAAATCTCCTTCATACCATAAGTACTGATCTAAATAAGCATCTGTAATTTTTTCTAAAGGGTCAACTTCGTAAACAGGCACTAAATGAGTATATAAATCTAAAAAGGAGATTGAAATTTCTTTAAAAGCTCTTTGTGTTAATAGATGTCTCTTTATTCTTGATAATGTTTCATAAGGATTATCATATGCCTGTTCAATAAAGCCTAACTCTTCTCTTTGAGATTGGTTTAGTCTATTTTTAACAGTAAATGTTTCTTTTAATTTCTCTAAAGCTAAAATTAGTAACTTTGTGTCATGTTTATAATTTAAAGGTGGAAACGGAATATGTGTAAATTTACGAGATTCAAACCAATGAATAGCAGTAGTATACAAAGCAACGGCTTCTTCTCCACTAACATAAGGTCCATCTTTTAAATATTCATGTTGCCTTTCTTGCTCTGCTTTTAACCATAATCTTGTTAATCTACCTAAGTTTTTTTTACAAACTGTTTTATCAACTGTAGCACCTCTTTTTATTCTTTCTCTATTATAGTATGTTGCATTAATCCACCAATCTGCTTTCAATTTAATATATCTAATAATCATATTTTCCACAGGTAAAGGTAATCCAACAACTTTCCATGGAATATTAGCTTTCCAACATCTCCATGCTTCACTTAAATGTTGTAATATTAATCTTGCTTTACTCTTATTATTTTTTAACCCTGCAGGTATCATATCAATAATATCATGCATAACTGCAGCTCTTAATTCTAAGTCAAAATGGCTTTCTACCCTTTGTTTTGTCACTGTTTTGGCTATACCTTTTGAAACTCTTCCCTCAAATTGCCTAGCCAATAAATTGCTTAGCCATCTTTCTAATAATGGTATTACACCTCTTAAAAAAAATATCCAAACTCTCCATAATGGAGCCCAGAACCCACAACCCGGTCCTTTTCCTACAGATCCTGTATTAAATCTATAATAAATTAAATGTTTTAAATCTTTACACATTCTGACTTGCCTCATTAGTCTATATTTATATCTGTACATCCCAGTTAATTGACCAACATGAGAAAATATATATTGAATTCCATCTGCTAATTGATATGCATCAATATTACCAAGTCTATATTGTACATGAGAATCCACTATAGATTTTGTTAATCTTAATATTTCTCGACATAAATGAAATGCATTACCAAAACGAGATTTTTTTCTTTCTTTTGTAGTCAATGTTTTTACAGGTTTTAAATTAAAATTATAATCTAAATGCAAATAATTTAAATTTTTACGATGAATTAGCAAATTTAACATATTATACCCTTGCCTACATACTTGTAAACCTACTTCAACCCAATCCATTTCTGTACATTGAAAAAATTTAGTGCTTTTAAATATTCGAAATAAATATTTTTTTTTCATACTTTTGGGTCTTTTGGAATGTAGATGGTTTAGAACCCAACATTTTAAAAGTTTCTGATAAGATACTCTTACTTTAACTGGATATTTAGTTGATATATGTTCTTTAAACCATGATTGAACTAATGGAATATCAATACCTCTTCTAGTGTATCCACATTTTTTATTAAATGGATATGGAGCATGGTATAATTGAATTCCATTAATTGTCCTTTCTGTATATAGTGGATAATTATGTAATAAAGGTAATATTCCATATTCCACTTTTTTAATAATCATTTTTTTTTTTTTTTTTTTTATTTCTTCTTTCTTTCTTGGTTCTGAATCATCATCATTTTTATTTTCACTGTCACTATAAAAATATTTTCTTTTTTTATTTTTTCTGTAATATTTTTTAAGATTATTATCACAAGAATTATTGTCTAAGGTACTATCAAATTCATACTTTTCATCTTTATACTTACTTGTTTTGATACTTAAATTATTTGAGTTATTACATTTGCTACTAGATATATTAGTGTCACTGTTATCAACACTATTACTACTTGTCATATTCGTGATGCTATTTCTTTTATGCTTATTATTTTCAAAATCGCTACTGTTATCATCCATTTCATAATTGGAATTATATTCTTTTTTAGTATTTTGCATTTCCTCTCCTTTTTCTTTGTGCCTTTTTGTAAATTTTTTATTTTTATATTTTTTCGTTTCTTTTTCATCTTTTTTTTTATTTCTCTTCTTTTTCCTTCTACTGTAGTGTTCATCATCATCCGAATTATGACTATCACTATTGCTATAATCATCTTCCTCTTCATCACTATGAGTTTTTCTTTCATTTTTTTTTTTTCCTTCTTCAATAACTTTCTTGTCATATATTTCTTCATAACAAATTTCTTTTCTTGTATATGTTAAGTAAAAGTCAAAATTTATTTTATTTTTGTCTGTATTATTGATTTTCCTAATTTTATAAGATGGAATAGGATTTATAATAAGATCAAAGTAAAAAGGTGGCAAATCAATATCTTCCAATTTTATATAAACACACATGGGTGTATGATATTTGCTAACTGCAATTTTTCTAGGCCTGTTATTATATAAATAAGGAAATGCAATTTTATATTCTGTTCTAATTTGCTGACGAATAATAATTTTATTAATATCATTAAATTCATTCCAATCTTCATCATCTTCATATATGTCTCTATACAACGGTTCAAATTTTGGTCCTCCTGGTATTGCCATATTTAAAGCTTTAGCAGTATAAAAAGATTTTAAATTAAATAGATAGAAATAGTTATCATCTTGAAAATCACTGAACAACTGATTTCCCAATCTATACAAAACACCCATTTGCTCTAGAGTTAACTTGTACTTTTTATAACTGCTTCCATTTATATGATTTCTATTATATAATAATGGCTTTGATTCATAAAACCAATCAATAACGCTCTTATCTTCTTCTTTATCTAACTTCATTTGTATACATTCTAATGGCTCTATATCTAAGATATTGTCCGCATAATCTAATGGAGGTTCTTCATCATCAAAAGGAGGAAATCTCATTCTTTTAAAATGTTTTCTATCTCTTTTTTCTCTTCTCATCATTATCCACATAGTACCCCACTGAGCAATATATAAAGGATCTATTACAACAAATATTTCATTTACAAACGTTATAGCACCTGTAATATGATAAATTACTTTTGTATTTTTTATTTGTTCCCATGGCATAGGTATGTTTTCTAATAATTTATAAACTGCATGAGGAATATATTTCAATGCACCTAAATATACTCTTTTATCATATCTATATTTCTTATTACTCATATCACCATGTTCTTTTACAATTTTTCTCAAATGCTCACATGGCATTTCTTCTTTTTCTTCTACAACACCAAATTTTTTTTTTTTGGAATATTTTTTGCTGTTTAGCATTTTCCATTTTCTAGCTTTTTCTTTTATTATAGAAAATATTCTGGATTCATGCATACTTTTATCTGAAATATTTTCCATTTTATTATTTTTTATATCTAAATCTCCTTCGTAACTTTTCTTATGTTTTTTTTTTTCATTTTTTAAGTAATCTTCCTTTATTTTTTCATTTTCGTTTTTTTCTTCTTGTACTTCTTTTCTACCATCAGATGGAAATATATCTTCCTCACTTTTTAGTTGTTCATAAAAATACGCATGTGAGGATTGGCTACTTGGAATTTGCATCGTTTCATTATTATTCATCTTAACAAAGTTAGACATATATGGATTTGATGGCATATAATAAGATGTATCCAAAACATGTCCTGCACCGTTCATATTAGAATTATTTTGAACATATGATCTATTATTATATTGAATTGGTGCCATATTTTGATATGAATTATGATTACTCACAGAACTTGTGCTTTTTATATTATCAACTGAATTATTTGGTGCATTATTTATTTTATTATTTTTCATTTTTATACCTGGTGTTTTCATCATGTAAGGAGGAAAATTCATTATATTTGGTAAAAGATTGTTCATATTTATAGGAAAATTGTGTATATTTGGTGGTAAGTTATTCATATTTGGTGGTAAGTTATTCATATTTGGTGGTAAGTTATTCATATTAGGTGGTAAATAATTTATATTGGGTGGTAAATTAATCATATTGGGTGGTAAATTATTCATATTGGGTGGTAAATTATTCATATTAGGTGGTAAATTACTCATATTGAATGATAAATTATTCATATTGGGTGGTAAATTATTCATATTGGGTGGAAAATTATTCATATTGGGTGGTAAATTATTCATATTGGGTGGAAAATTATTCATATTTGGTTGTAAATAGCTCATATTTGATGGCATATTTTTAATATTTGGTGGAGTATAATTCACATTGGATGGCATATTTTTTGCATTTCCTGTTAAATTATTCATATTTGTGGGTACACTGGAAATATTAGGTATCAAATTTGGTATAGATGAAGAATTAGGAGTAGATATACAGTTATCTACATTTTGCGGAAAAGGGATTATATTAGGTGAAAAATTGCTCATATTTGGTAATGTATTCTTCATATTTTCTGGTAAATCATCTATGTTTGGATTCAAATTTTTACAATGTTGCATATTATAATACATATTACCATTGTTTTGTGCATTATTATGATTAGCTATGCCATTCGGTAAATTTGAATCCTTTAAGGCTGATAAATGTCCTTGTATATTATTATTATCCATGAACTTTGATGAAATATTTGCGTTTGGTTCTTGATTATTTATATTCTTAATACAATTAGAATCATTAATACTTACATTTTCTTCATTATTTTGGTTATTAACCTCACGAAGATTATAGTTATTACTATTTATACCATCTGTATAATACATATCATTTTTCTCATCATTATTTAATTTTTCATTTTTTAAGTTTATTAATGAATATAATTCACCTTTTTTATTTTCTTCACTGTGATCATTCATCATAGCTTTTTCATGATCCTCACTATTTTGTGTAGAACTTAAAATATTATTACTCCCCTAAAAAAAATTAAATTAAAAGTTTATTTTAATCACAAATGTAATAATAAAAAACAAAACTTGGATTCATATTAAAAAAGAAAAGAACATAAGTATATAAATGTAAATAGGTATTTATTCTTCTATCCTTACTTCATTATTATTATCTGAAGACTTCTCACATGCTTGATTATTTCTCATTTTAAAAAAAAATAAATTTAATAATTTTATATATATATAAATATATATATATTTATATTTATATATATTTTTACATTTTTTATAATTTTTTTTTTTTTATAATATATTTTTATCTGTTTGCTAAATAATTTTAAAAATGTAAAAAAATTTAATAATAAAATAGTTATAAATTTTACTAAATATTTTTAATTCATGAATAGTAATATACATACATACATATATATATATAACTTAAAAGAAAAAATCATAAAAAAAAATAACAGAAATAATATATGTAAATTTAATTTCACATAAAAGCAAAAAAGAATTAAAAAAAAAAAAAAAATCTTAATTTTAACAACATACAAAAACTTTTTAATTTTTATAAAGAAAATAAAAGTGCGTATATAATATTTTGTTTTTGAATTATCTTTTCATAAATAAAAAAAAAAAAAAAAAAAAAAAAAAAAAAAAAAAAAAAAAAAAAAAAAATATGAAAAATATTATAACATAAAAAAGATGTAAATTTTGTTATTTTAAATTTCCTTTATTTTTTTGTATAAAATATAAATTATAATATGAAAAGTACAATAATACAGGCAGAAAAAAAGATAAGAATATGTTAATATTGTAAAAGAATATTTATATTTTTTAAACCTTAAAAATAATATATATACATATTATTTTTTAATTCTATAGTTAAAAATAATTTATGATATTTTAAATGTAACTATAAATTAAAAAAAAAAAAAAAAATTAAAAAGAGTATTTTATAAGTAATGAATTCAATTCTTTATAAAGTTTTATAAAAACTACAAAATAAATTTATATGATATTTATGTATAATTATAAAAGAAATACAAAGTATTACAAGAACATAAAATATATAATTTTAGTATAAAAAAAAAAAAAAAATATGTGAAAGTAAATATGTATAGCACTTAATATTATTTTATGTTTTGTTTATATAAATTATGTATTGTATAAAATTTTTAAAATACAAGGTACTGTTAATTAGGAAATGAAGAAAAAAAAAAAAAAAAAAAAAAAAAAAAAATA